GACTTAGGCACAGACACAGATACAAATGCAGATGACAACACAGATGAAGATGCAGATACGAAGCTCATGCACTTTCGAAGCCCATAGAGAAAACAAAAAATACTTGCAGCTTTTCTGTCAGAGTTAAACTGACAGATAAATAAAAATCTCTACAGTCAGGAGACACCACCTTGCTCTTCTCACTCAGTACCAGAATCACCTTGCCATGCATTCTGTTCTGTAATGTTGGCAATGAACCATACATAGCTATGAGCCCTTGAGCATGTCACAACCCCTCTTGCCTCTGTTTCTCCTACTCATAAAAAGAGGATAACTCCCTACCTGCCTGCCTGCCTACCTACCTACCTAGGTTTGCTATGTGAATAGCCAAAGTAATCAGTCTTTAAATTTTATTGTTTTATGTGTATGGGTGATTTGCTTGCTTGTATGTGTGTGCATGGTGCTCATATCTTGTGCCTGCAGAGACCAGAAGAGGGTGTTGGATCCTGTGGAACTGAAGTTATAATTGTGAATACTATGTGGGTCCTGGGACTCAAACCAGGTCTTCTGGAAGAACAACCAGTACTCTTAACCACTGAGCCATCTCTCCGGATCCAAAATAGGCAATCTTTAAGCAGAGATTACTCTCTTAAATACATCACATATGCTAACTCATTCAATTCTCAGAACAGCCCTATCAGGTCAAAGTTATTATCAACCCCCCCTCATGTAAAAGAAAGGGAAACTGAGTCATGGGACAGCTTCACACCTGCCTGGTGTTACATAGCAAGGAAAGATTTGAATCAGTGTCCTGGATCTATACCACTTTGCTCTAAAGCCTAATTGCAAAGAACCCTGACTAGGTTTCAGAAGCTCGTAAAGGAAAAGAAGTGTTGCAGCTCCTTGCCCTTGAGAGGCTGCAGAGTACATCAGCTTCCCTGGCTAGGGTGAAGCCACAGCCGGAGTTCTGCATGCACAGACCCATTAGCTTTCTTGGACAAGGGTAAGTCCACAGCCAGAGCTCTGCATGCAGAGTGCCATCAGCTTCCCTGGCAAGGGGAAGGCCACAGCCAGAGCTCTGCATGCAGAGTGCCATCAGCTTCCCTGGCAGGGGTCATGCCATGACCGGAATTCTGAAGCTGCTTACCCATGGGCTTGCTTTCTAAGGGTGAATAAGACAGCACCACCTTCCGTCCTCCCGGTCACAGGACAGTCAGGCCGTGTATTCTCTCAAAGCACATCTCTGCTGCCAGGAGCAGGTTTGCCTGTCTCCAGGAGACAGCGGTTGTCAAACCCCCCAGAGAACAGCAAGCATGTCAAATATAGCAGCGCTAGCAGACTGCGTGGCTGCAATTTCCTTTTGAAATGTTGACTTTGTGTTCACCAGAGTCCAGGACTGAATGCAGTTCACACAGCCAGCAGCAGAGTGCTTAAGGTCCCAGGATGTTTTCTAAGGGTAGGCGTCTGCACAGAGGAGTCTAAAGGGGGTGTGAACTGCAAATCGTGCAGTTTAAATGCGTGGGTCTGTGGACTTGTCTAAGGGAAATTCTCTCTGTAGTATCAGTGATGAGGTTACAGTTGTATTTTAAAAAAATGTTATAAACCTGAGTAGGGCTAGGCCCCAAACAGGTCAAGGTTAGGCCAGCATTAACATTACGTTTCTGTCTAGCAGGCTTCTTTTCTCCCTTTTATTCTGTGAATGAGTCAGTTTCCTGAAGAAAAGACCCTCAACCCTGGTGGAGAGCTGGCAGCTCTGCTTCTTCTGCAGGGCCACCTTGTCAACAAGGGCATGAGAACAAAGCGGGACTTAGAGAGTAGAAGAATCACTTTCCAGCTCAGAGTAAAGATACTTGAAAGCATCCTAGTCTCCAGCCCCACGAGGCCCTCAAGACCAGAGCAGGAAAACGACAGCATGAGAAACAGGCTCCCATCTGTCCTCATCCCAGTGGCCCGTGTCTGGCAATATGTGCCCTCGCTCCAGTGTCCTGCGCTCCAGGCCTCATCCTGCTAGGAGGTGTCCATGCAGAGGAGTCTAAAGGGGACGAGGGCTGTGAATCCTTCCGTGGAATGCACAGATTTCTCTTTCTCCCGTAAGTGACCATGACACATCAGAAAGAGGAGGACACACTTCCCTTCCTCAGGCAAGAGCGCACAGTCAAGACCAATCAGAGTTAGACAGCAGTTCCAGCCACACGGTCCAGGGAGTATGACATCTCCTGGGAAGCTTTCCTGGCATCCACAGAGAGATGCAAGATGAGAGAAATGTTGCCGCCAGCAAAGCCCTGGGCGGGGCTGTGTGCGGAAGGCAAGCGATAGGATTGGGAGGTGTCATGTGGAGGGAAAACCCCAAAGGAAGAAGGTCAGGGCTCTGTGGGCACCAGGCAATACAAAGAGATTAGTTCTAAGGTCTAACAGACCATATGAAAAGTATAATAAACTCCAACCACAACAATTTAAACCAAACCCTAGAGGATTGCCAGCCCCCATGATACAGGGCTAGTGAGGGTTAGTGGAAAAGGGTGAAAAATAACTAAACTTGGTTTTTGATACTTGGAGATGCAAGGATTTCATGGTTTGAGGGCTTTGTAGGGTTGCTTTGCTTTGGAACGAAGTATAAACTCCTTGAGCAAGTCCTTGACCCTACTCCTATAAACCACAACACATGCAGCGCCTGCTCTCCCAGAGAACAGCCTGCTGGGCCTTCAAAGCAATCCTAAGCATGTAAATCTCATGAAAGCTTGACAGTTAAAATAAAACACCCCAGCACATGCAACATACACTTACACACACTCCACACATACCACATACACACCAAAAACATGCACATACCACACATGACACTCATATACCACACACATATATACACACACTACACACATAGCCACAGACACCCCACACACATACACAAACACTTCACACCACACATACACTACATATATACTCCACAGATACCCCAAGGCACCACACACACATACAGCACACACACCACAGAAACACATGCACACATCACATACTACACACACACACACAAACTCAACACAGACACTCCATAGAGACCCCATAGACACACACACATATACCACACACATACTCCCCACAGACACACACACCCCACAGAGACTCTACAGACACCACACACATACACAACACACACACATATCTCACAGAGACCTCACAGACATATAACATCACACAGATATCCTACACACATACACACACACACAACTGACAAACATACACCTCATACACCACAGACACACACACCTCACAGAGACCCTACAGACACCACACTCACACACATACCACACACACACACACCCCAGAGAGACCATATAGACACCATACACAAACACACATACCGCATACCACACAGACAACCCATGCATACCATAGGCACATACATACATACATACATACCACACAGCACATACACACATACCACTCATCTCACAAACACCACATGCACACACCCCTTGCCCCCTACTCCCCCCAGAGCCCTCATAGTCACCTTACACACACACATACCACACATTACACATACCACAGACAATATACACACCCCATAGAGACCCCACACACGCACACACATCACATACACATTCCACAGAGACCCCAAATGCACTAAACACCCCCCACAGAGACCCCATGCATACTACATACACACATACCACATACACCACATGCACACACACACAAACACACACATACCACACCACAGACACATGCCATGCACCCCACAGCACCCTCACAGACAACACACACACACACACACACACACACACACACACACCACTTCTTGGTATTTTGTGACAGCTGCAAAGAGCAGCTACAGGATAACTAAAGTTGCAGAAGAAAAAGTCTGACAGATAATCCACATGGTCCATCCTTTTGAGTTATAAAACCAGACCCTGTACCAGCTCATGAGAAGACTTAGGTCATTAGGCTCGTGTCTCTCTCACCCGAATCATAGGACTTTCAACACATCTGGTTTAGAACAGTTCTGTCACCCTCAAAAGTTCTCTGGTGCCAGTTTAACAGCCTATGTAGAACCCTGTGTGTCTGATGGGCCACCAGGACATCTTGATGCAGATGGGGCTTCACCCTAAGCTCCAGAGAGGGGCAGTCTACACTCTCTCCCTGTGGTCTAGTCAGTGAATCTCGGTCAAGAAGCATCCCCTGTATTCTACATCACTGAGAATGGTGTCTTTCCTCTTGCTCTGCCTTGGGGACACAAGGAGCCAGTCAGAGGCTGAGCGAGCCTTCAGTGAGTGCTGAGTAGTTATCAGATCTGCCTCACGTCCTCCCAGCTGCTCCAATTTTCTCTGTTCCACCATTATTACTGTTTCCTTGACTCCAACGTCTCTGCAAGGCTCCTAAGGTTGGAGGATACTCAGAAGGGCATATTCCATGCTAAATGGCCGAGTAGCTGAGACTCAGATTAGTTATCTAGATATCATCTCTATTTGTCTCTCCCCCACACTCGTTCCTCCCTGCCACCTTTCCTCTTTTCTCTGAGTATTTTCATGCTCAAGAAATTTCTAGAAGACATTTTACTAGCCGCACGATATCATCTTATTGTGTAAGTGAAGCTCCTCCAAGAACAGAGAATATGCAAGGGAAATACGGTACCCTGAGATGCCAGGGAAACAGGGAACCTTCTTAGCAAAACACTGGTCCCTGCTGTCCTGTAGTTCAAATCATGGCTCTCACAGTTCTGCCAAAAGGGCTCCCAAAAGCCAAAAGTGATGGAGAGGGGGAGAAAGAGAGATAGAAATGCATGGAAGGAAGACCTGTTTAAGTGGGGAGGGGGTGGGGTAGAAAGAAGAGAATTGGGGAAGAAGAGATATATAAAGTAACAAGGAGAGGAAGACTGCAGAAAATGGGGGAAACAGTGGGGAGAAAGGAAGGGACGGAAACAGATGAAGACAGAGAGAACCCCACAACAATAAAGATAGACAGCAAAACCCTGCTTTAACAGATGCTGAACCCATCTCCCCCCACCACTCTGTCAGGGCACATACCACAGGTTCAGGGAAGGCCAGCTGTTCCTTGCTCCTCTGGGATGCTAAGCCGGAGGAGGGTCCTCATCCCAAGCAGAAACTGGCAGTCCCAAGAAGTCCTCTGGGAGCCCCCACTGCTTTAAGTCAGTTGTTAGGATAGCTTGAACCCACCTTCTTGGGCAACTGTGATCCTGTTCCAGCTGTTGAGACAGCACACAGTACATATTCTCTTGATGCCAAGGTTGCAACGTCCACGTGGAGACTCAGAAGCAGGGAGGGATCACTGGATAAAATTCTCCACCAAAAAAAAAAAGAGAGAGAGACTGAGTCGCTGTCTGCCTCTCAGCTTCTGCATGACATCCTAGGAGCCACCTCAGAGCTTCTTGTCAGAAGCAACGTTGCTCCCTGTGAGGAAAGGATTTCACTCCTCGTGGTCTCTCTTAGAGCTGGAAAAAGCCTGCATCTAAGGCGAGAATGTCAGGTCACCTCAGACCGGTGTCATCCATGTCCTCAAGGCCCAGCCTGGCTGCTGTGGAAGGGACATTTTGTACCCCTCTCTGAGGTCACCTTTGGAAAGCCTTAGCATTGCTGCGGACTTCATTGGGCAGTTTTTAAGCATTCAAGTTTCTGAAGACTCGGGCGTAAGATGTGGCAGCATCAGGGACCAGATATGGAACCAGAATAAAAGGTCCCGGCAGGAAGTGTTGAGAACCTACTTCCTCCACATTTCCGCGAGGTCCCGAATCCTTGTCTTAATTCCACCAATGCCTAAACCAATAAAAAGGAGGTGCTCCCATTTGAGAAGCTGGGATGTGTAGTCTGTTTTCCCTTGATACCCAAATCAGTAGAGAGAACAGTCTGGAAGGTTGCTACGGCAACCAGAGTCCCTGGAGAGCCTGACTTGCCACAAACCTTTTACTTTCAGGCATGCTCTGACTTGAAAAGGCAATGTTTGCATAAGGACAAGGACAGTGATGAGGGTAATGATATATACACAGAGGTCCATGCACACATGTCCCCATGATCACCCTCAGCTGGGGGCATCCCTTTGGCCACCGGGGTGGGCTCGGGAGTAACTAAAGAGGTTGGACACAAAAAACACTTTCTTACTGGCTTTGGGATAGGTCTCTGAGTCTTAAGTATCTCTGTCTTTTATTATGTTCCAGGCTCGGAGAAGTCAGTCTCCCAGGTAAAGTGACCTCCAGCCACCAAGTCTACTACAAGAATACATTCCATTCTGAAGGGTAAGACAAAGGATGGAGGCACAGCCCAAAAGGCCAAGGAGAGACTTAGAGATCTAATGGTCTACAATGGCCTATTTGTAGGCTTTGAACTCAAGGAAGAAACTTTGGGAGACAGGAAGGCAGGATAATAAACTAAAACTCAAATCCACGACTATACTTCACACATTTGCATAGTATCTTCCCCACCTTCCTGGGTGAGTTTATTGATACTCCCCCATGAGGTAGGGAGGGGAAGACATTAATGTTCTCATTTAATGGATGGGGAAACTGAGGCACAAAGAGGGACTCTGACACCAACGCTACCCTGTAAAGCTGTGGCAAAACTGAGACTGTTGGAGTCACAGTGCCTCTCAAGCCAGTCCCCAAGGTCAGTCCCTAGTGTGATGCTCTTCGAGAAAATCTTTTTTTAAAAAAAAAAAAAAGCATTCTCTTCAAAGAGTCTTAAAGCATTAATATGAAACTGAAAACATGGTAACAGTCCTTTGGGGTTAGGAACCGTGCTCATGAGAACTGAGAACAGTACATCACAGTTTATCAAAGGCAAAACGGAATGGCAATGCTACTTGGGGAGGCAGGCAGTGGGCAGCTGGAAGGGAGGGTGGTGGCTTTGCAGTGGGAGAAGATGGCTTGGTCCCAGTGGGAATCACCGAGTTACCTTAGCAGTGAGAGCAGGCCGAATGCTGCTCCGCAGGAAGAGCAGACAAACATTTGCTTCACTCAGCAAAATCCTCTAAGAGTGAGGCTGTCAACAAAAGGACCCTGCGCCTGTTCCTGGCTCCAAACCAAGTGTTGTTGCCCGTGGCAGGGGAGGAAAGCTATGCTGGCATTCGGTATGTGAACTCACCTGTCTGCAGGTTATAGCTGAGGTTGTTTTATTTAAAAAAAAAAAAATCATCTGCAATCCTAAGTCAGATTCCCGGGAAGAAGAGTGGAGGGGACATTAGACAGGTCTGGGCTAACTAGGGAGAATTGGCCGCTGTCTGCAGCGGAGTCCCCTCTGCCTGTCCAAGGTGACAGTCTCTGCTAAGTGGCACCTCGCTTAAGATATGTGGTCCAGCCGATCAATTGGCTCTGGTCAGCCTTCTCTCCTGGCTCTGTAGTTCCATTTTCCAGATCCTCTGCCCACGAAGACGTTTGCACAAAGAATATTTGGCTCAGAGAAAGAGCCTTCCTGGAAGCTCAAGGGAGTTGGAGAACCAGAGCAGGAGGACTTAGATGGACCACAGCCAGGGCCTCCTGTGCCAGATGATTCCTAGAGGAATCCACCGGCCCCTGTGGTCTAGAACTGACCCTCATCCTTCAAAGAATCCAGCTGGGTAGTATTTTCTCTAATTCCATCCAAATTTAGGCATGAATAACTTTCAAAACTGTGCAGCTAACAGCTCTGCCAGCCAGAAGATGGACAGGGCTCAGAGCTAAAGCAGCAAGTTGAATTATTTTCCATTCTCCGGATTCTGTCAGTGATCAGTGACCAGAAGCTAAGAAGGATGTACAACCCAAAGCAAAGGACGCCAGAGAAGGGAGCAGAGTGTAGCTGTGTTCTATTCTATTGACATCACCATTCCTAGTGGTATCACAAGACCCAGGCAGAAGAATTCAGTCTCGAGGGAAGGTCAGGCAGACATGTGTATCTCATCCACTTGACAGATGGGCATGATTGAGCGGCACCGTTGAAATTTCTGAAATGTCACTAAGATGGAGAAACCTCGAATGCTGCGAGGATCGAGCAACAGTCTACAGTCCAGGTATTTGGTCCAGGATGCCATGTACTGGGTACAGGGAGAGGGGATTCGAGGTCCTCGGGAGCTATGGCGGGAGTAGTGAGCATGTGAAGGAAGCCTGAGAGATGGCTTGCTCAGAGCTCCCTTGTTCCTGCAGGCCCTGCCTGCATCCGTCAAACCTCGGTGAGCATTCTTTTCTCCGCATAAGCTCGGTGTGGAGTTGGAAGGTAGCTAGGCCGCCTTTCTCGTGAAGCCTCGGAAAAGTCAGGCTTGCCAAGCCCATTGTCCGTTGCCTTCAGGTCCGGGGTAGGCTGCCCACAAGTGACATGGGTATACTGGCCTTGCTCCTCCTGCTCCGTCTCTCGGTGGTAGAAGTAGTTGAAATTGGAGACAATAACTGGTACCGGTAGTGCAATGGTAAGAACCCCAGCAATCGCACACAGAGAACCCACAATCTTGCCCCCCACTGTCATGGGGTACATGTCCCCATAACCTACTGTGGTCATTGTCACCACAGCCCACCAGAAGGCATCTGGGATGCTAGGGAAGAGAGAGTCATCATCATCCGCCTCTGCGAAGTAGACGGCGCTGGAGAAGAGGATGACTCCGATGAAGAGGAAGAAGATGAGCAGCCCCAGCTCTCTCATGGACGCCTGCAAGGTCTTACCCAGGATCTGCAGCCCTTTGGAATGGCGGGAGAGCTTGAAGATGCGGAACACTCGGACCAGGCGAATCACCCTAAGAATGGCTAGGGACATGGCCTGCTGCCCGTTTTGGCCACTGCCACCACTCACGGACTGCTCGTGTCGTTGCACTAGCTCAGTGCCCAGGGTGATAAAGTAGGGGAAGATGGCCACCAAGTCAATGATGTTCATGATATTGCGAAAGAAGGCTGCCTTGCTGGGACAGGCAGAAAAGCGCACCAGGAGCTCAAAGGTGAACCAGACGATACACAAAGTTTCCACCAGAAAGAAGGGGTCAGTGAAGAAGGAACCCCCAAGAGTACTGAATGAGGACGATGCCCCGGTCCCCACCCCTCCAGGAGGAATGCCACCAGGAAATGCATAGGCATCCTCATCCTCCTCTTCTTCCTCGTGGCTCCCCCTGGAGGCCGGGGACAAGCGAGTCCCACTACCCTCGTTGCTTCCACCACGCCCATCTGCACGGAATTGGGGCAAGGTCTCCAGGCAAAAGATGACGATCGAGATGAGAATGACCAACACAGAGACGATGGCAATGCCTCGGGCGGGCCCAGAACTCTCCGGGTACTCAAAGAGGAGCCAGACCTGGCGCTGGAAGGGCTGGGAGGGGAGTGGTTTCTCATCCTCGCCACCTTCGGGCAGGCAACCCTCATCTTCCCGGAAGGCCGCCAGAGCTTCGTCCCCCAACTGATAGAAACGGATCTCTTCCATAAAGATGTCCAGGGGCACGTTGACCGGCCTGCGCAGGCGGCCCCCGGATTGATAGTAGTAGAGAATAGCATCGAAGCTGGGTCGGTTGCGGTCAAAGAAGTACTCGTTCCTCAGGGGGTCGAAGAAGCGGACTCTGCGGCCAGGGTCTCCCAGAAGCGTGTCAGGGAACAGGGACAGGGTGCGCAGCTGCGTCTCAAAGCGCAGCCCAGAGATGTTGATCACCAGCCTCTCGCTACTACAGCAGCCGCCGCCACCCGCGGCCTCCGGGAACTCTCCGGCATCCTGTTGCTCCCCCTCCGGCCCACGGTCCTCCCCCGGCGCCGCCAGCGTCAGGGATTTCTCCGATCTCATGTCCCCTTGGCAGTGCGCTCCCCGCCACTAGGACGGCGCCCACGACACGAGCTCCGGAGCGCGGCACCCGCTTCCCAGCTCTGGCTGCGCCCTCCTTTAGGGTGGGGCCCGCGCTCTGACCTGGCGGTTAGGTCGGTGAAACCTGCAGCTGGTCCCTCTGCCAGGCTAGGTCTGGGATGTGGCTCTGGTTCCCAATAGCTGCGCCTCGGTGCTCAAGATTACTGGGATGCCTGGAACCCGCAAACTGTCGCACGCGTGAAACTGGCTGCCGGAAAAGTCGCGTGGCTTAGCTCCTGCTGGTGACTGAAGCTGGTGACTGAAGCTGGGCTCGGGGACCCACGGGTCCGCCCTCCTGTCTCTGTCCGGGTCCCGCTGTTCTTTTCCAGCCTTACAAGACCCTGGGTTGCCGCTGGTACCGAAGCGCCAGATGCGCCTCCCTCCGGCTCACCAAAGACTCCTGCCCGGGCTCGGCCTCTGCCTCCGCCCTACGTCCACCACCGAACTAGGTCTGGCCAAGGTCGCGGTTCCAACCGCCACCTTTTTCCCAGGAGCTGTTCCACAGGCCTCGGGACTGCCCTGGGGCTGCCCCGGCGCCGGGGCGCAGGGACCCACCTCCCACCGCTTCAAGCCTTGGCTACACCCGTAGCAGCGACAGCAGCAGCAGCAGCAACAGCAGCAGCAGCAGCAGCAGCAGCAACAGCAGCAACAGCAGCAGGCTCAGCTCTCTGCTCTGCCCTTCCTCCCCAACACTCTCCAAGTGACGTGGCAGGCCCCGCCTGCTGCCCCCTCCCACCCCACTCTCACATCACACCCCTTACCCAGTCAGGGGCTGCAGCAAGCCTGGATGCTGGGGAATGATGTGTACATTTGCCTCCCCAGCAATCTTTCCCGCGCTCTCCTCGCGCGCCTCTTGCTTTCTCACAACCACACGCACGCCCCCACCCCCACCCCAACCACACTGCAGCATCCTAATAACACACCCCCTGCATCCTTCGCATCTCTTCTCATTTCTGTGCATCGGGCTGACCTGCACAGTGTATTTTCTCAGAAAGAAATCACACCCTGGCCCTACACACCCCTCCCCTATACACAGCATCTGACTCCCCTCAATCGCTATTTAATGGGGGGGGGGGGCGGGGATATTCCGCGTTTTCTATATCCATGAAGACCTCTACTGGGAGTGGAAAAAATGAAATATTTTTAAATATCTTGAGAGCTTTCCGTTTAGGCTGTGTCCCGATGTTAATTCCCCCCATAGACTCACTTTTGCAACCTGGAAGGGTGGGGCTGCAATTCTCTTCATGGTATAGGACAGAAACAGGGGAGAGAAAGCCTTCCCGTGCCCAGTGTGCCCAGCGAGTGGGAAACCCTCTCACCGAGTCCTGGGAACACCCGCCATTAGCTCCCATGAAAAGAACCAGAAGATCATAGTATTAAAGACCCACAAAACACAGGGAATCGCAGGCCAGAATCATTGCTCCAAGCCTCCCTGGGGGAAAATAGAATTCTATAATTTATATTAATTTTTGTCAAGAAAGGGGGAGGAGGATAACTGGAAAGGGGGTACATCAAAATGTGAATAAAAAAAAAACTACAGCTATGTTCAATGAGTATCTAATAGACACATTTTGGGTGCTTTGCCAGAAAGCTAGCCTCTACCTGTAGGCCATGTTACAGTGGAGACTCATTTGGCAAGATTTGGATGGGGCAAAATAAGCTATGAGGGAACCTATGCCTCTTGCTCTGGCTTTCCTTGAATGCCAGAAAGGTTTCCCACCCATTCTAAAGGCTTTAGACTGTTTCCTGCCTAGATCGCAGGGATAAAGATGCTGCAGACTGCCATGTACAGGTCGCTTGGCCTTGACTTCCCTGTAGCCAGAGTGGATTGGCTGGCAGCGGCCAGCATTTCTGTGCAGTTGCTTCTTCATAAGGACGAGCTTCAGAAGGCTGAGGATGGGAGCTGCACATAAAGATTCTCTCAAGCCACACGATGCATGTGTGGGTTCTTTGCCACAGGATACACACAGACTGTTTTAAAAGCCACAGCAGGCCACACAGCAGGCGCTCCAGGAGGGATGAGGCAGAGGAGGAAATCAGAGCTTCTGGACCTATGCGGAGGAAATCAAGTGGGGGGAAGATAAGAAAGAGGCTGGCTTCAACACCAAGGCACTGCACCTTGTGCTCTGCTGTGTCCCTCCCCAGGCTGACCAGACAGCAGCCTCTCCTTCCCTTATGCTTGGTCTCTACTCCCTCCCTCCTCTTGTACAGCTCCCTGAAGGGTGAGGGATCAAGAGCACTGCATTTACCCAGTCGATAGTTTTCCCATTTACAGGCTATGTAATTAAGCAATTTAGGCTTCACACAAAAGTTACTCCATTCAAAGAAGAAAAAAATAAAATAAAACAACAAATAGCATGTAGGAGATACACTGTCTTGTCCTGCGTGGTGCGGTTATTTCCTGTGTGTCCATTCACTCGCCCATGATTCTTTGGGTTTTGTTTTCTAATTTTTATCATGAATTATTCATTTGTATGTTTGCTGTCCCTATGATCACATTCCCCCAAGTTGCTGTCCATGAGATTAGTAGCATCCAAAAAGAGCTATGGGAAGAAGTTGCATCCTTCTAGAGGATGCATCAGGATCTAACATGATGGCGGACAACCATTTGAATACTCCCATTAAAGTGGCTGGCACTGCCTGCTGTCCAACAGGCCGAAGTCTGGTCTGTGGTTACCTTCACATCAGACATAAGGCTGGGCCCCTAGAAAGGATTCGGTATGCACTGGGAGGTTCCCTTGGGAGGCAGAAGCCATTAGCAAACTCATGAATCAGACTTCTGTTTTTAGTTCTTTTGTGAAACAGACTCATTCCCTGTGCCTAGACAGTTCTTCTTCAGTAGACAGTAGGGATGAATTTTAACGACTCACACCTTCAGAAGTGCCAGCTCCCTGAAGAAGGAAGGCAGGAGGCTCACCTCCCTCTATAGACACTGTGTTGCTACTTCCAGTGACAGGTAGTTGTTATTTGATGTTTCCTCCACCATTCCCTGGGCATGATTTATTTCAGCACAGACGGTATGCTTATTGTGTCTAAAATCAGACATCTGCAATGACCATAGACGTCAGTCATTTACTCAATTAATCACTAACTGAGCAGCTACTACGTAGTCACTGTGGGTTCAGGTGCTGAAGCAGTTAACAGTGAATACATTTCATGCTAGCCAGGAATCTTTACCATACTGCAAAAGAGACATTTACACACTAGGCATAATAAAGAGAACAAATGGGATGCTATGTCAGGGATGAACGTAGAAGACAGAACTTCAAAGAGTGTCCTTCTGTAATAGTTAATTTTAATTGTCAGTTTAACTGGACTTAGAATCACTGGTGAGCCAGACTTCTGGCCAGGTCTGTGAGAGGGTATTTGCAGAATTTAACTGAGGAGAGAAGATCTGCCTGGAACGTGGGCAGCACCATCGGATTGGTTGGGGTCCCAGGCAAAAAAAAAAAAAAAAAAGACAAGTCTAGCTGAGCACTGGTATTCATCTCTCCCTGATTGCAGACACAGTGTAACTAGCTTCCATTCCTGCAGCCTGGCCTTGCCAGCCCGTCATGTGAGACAAAAAGGCACCCTTCCTTTCTTCTGTTACTTTTTGGTCAGGCATATTGTCACAGTGATAACAAAGATAACAAAGAAACAAAGGAATGTTTCTTGTAAGAATTCAAAGCAGAGATGGTTCCACCAGGTTAATTAGCAGGGAAAGAACATTATGGACAGACACATGTGGAAAAACCAGACAGGTTTTAGGCACTGAAGACTCATGTAGACCAAGCAAGGAGAAAAGTAAAGGAGATTGAAGAAGAAACAAGGGTAAGATCTTGCAAGGTGAAGTGTTTAGGTTCTGTGAAGTTAATGATGGTTCCCATGCGGAGGAGATGTGACTTACACAAAGGATGAAATGAGAAAGAACCCAAGGGACTGCCTTAGTTACTGCTCTATTACATGGTGATGCAACATGACCAAGGCAACTTCTAAAACAATGCACTGAATTAGGTGCCCATTTACGGTGTCAGAGGATGGGTCCACATCATCAGGTCGGGGAGTATGGAAATAGCAGGCAGGCGTGGCACTGGAGCAGTAGCTGAGAGCTTACATCCGATCCTCAGAAAGGAGCGAGAGAGAGGGAATGGGGCCGACATGGACTTTTGACATCTCAAAGCCAGTGACATACCTCTTCCAAAAAGGTCACACGACCTAATCCTTCCCAAATGGTCCCACCAACTGGAGACCAAGCATTCGAACATAGGAGCCTATGGAGGCCATTCTCGTCCAAACCACCACAGGGACAAAAGAAGAAATGAGAAGACCAGGAAATGAATAGTATTCTGAAGAAAAGGTGATGGCAAATTGGATGAAGGTAAGTAGAGTAGGTAGAGATTCTGGAAAGGGGTGGCTTTAGGAGACGAAGCATTGGGAACTGAATACCCACGAGAAGTAAGCAAGGAACATGCCAGGGCTTAGCTGGAGTAACAGGGTGGGTCATTAGTGCAGTATGTTAAGGCAGGGAAAGTGAGGGATTGAGCCCTCTGAGTAAAGCAAGATCTTGATTTAGAGATGTTAAGTTGGAAAGGCAAAGTAGGCATGCAAATGGAGTCATTGTAGGGATAGTGGCTGATTTGTATCTGTAACAGATGAGAAATATATGATTTGTGAATTTTGAAATAGAGAAATATCTAAATCTATGGCACTAAAGTCTTCTAGAAGAAAAGATGGACCATAGACAGACCTGGAGGTATGTACCAAACACACATCTAACATGGCACATAATTGATTATCATTTACATTCAACTGTGGTTTTGTTATTGTTTATTGAGAAAGGATTTGATATCACCCAGGCTAGCCTTGAACTCATTGCAACCTGATGTAGAAGGGTCATCTGTCTAGGTGTTACTTTTATCGGTTAATAAAGAAACTGCCTTGGCCTTTTGATAGGCCAGCCCTTAGTTGGGTAGAGTAGACAGAACAGAATAGTGGGAGGAAGAAAGCAGAGACAGGAAGACGCCATGAAGCTACGGCCCAAGACGGACATTGGTTAGACTCATGCTGGTAAGCCATGACCTCGTAGTGAACACAGATTAATAGAAATGGGTTAATCAAGACGTGAAAGTTAGCCAAGAAGAGGCTAGATATAATGGGCCAGGCAGTGTTTAAATGAATACAGTTTCCATGTAATTATTTTGGGCATAAGCTAGCCAGGCAGCCGGGATCCAGGTGGGAACACAGCCCGCTGCTCCTTCTACAACAGAGTAGCACCCAACATGGTAACTAAACCCACTTAAAAACCTGAGAGGGCTTAAAAAGGAGGGAGAGAGAGTTTAACACAACTTTTTGTTGGCAGCATGCTGCAGAGAAATTTCCCTGACTCAGCAGTCATAGCAGGAAAAAAGCTGCACAGTTTTAAAATGCAGCTTTCTGGACTGTGCCGCCAGCACGACCTCCGTCCGTCTGTAAAGTGTTTCGATGGCTTTTGTTTGTGTTCCTGCTCAGGATTGGGAAGAAAGTTCTCTGAGATCATGCCAATGGTTCAGAGCTCCCTGCCTGCACCTGGGCAGGCAGCAGGATCAGGCTTAGGCAAGCGGGAGAGCTTGACAGATATCTGCCGCCATACACAGAGATGTTTCCAGGCTGCACAGTGGTCTGCCTGGCAGATTAGGCTGTAACTGAGATTAAAAAAACTCAT